AGATAAATTATATTTAATAGATAGGCCTAAAGACCTAATTATATATATTATTATAGTAATTAAAATTAATAAATAATAATATAAATATAAAAAAGAAAGAGTAAACTATAAGAGGGGAAATAACTTTAACCTTTATTACTTTAATTAATAATAAAATAATAATAATTAAAGTAATTCTTAAAATTAATAATAGTAATAAAGAAATTATTAAAATAATACCTTATATAGATCCTATAAGGGACTAATAACTCTAAAAGTTACTTAACTAAATAATAAGAACTATAGATTATATAATATATTTAAATATAAATATTATAATTATAATTAATTTAGATATATAATATAATAATACCTATAACCTAAAAAGCTAAAAGATCTTAATTATAATAAGTAAACCTTAAGACTAACTTAATAGATTAAACCCTAAATAGCTATATATATTTAAATACTAAAAATAATATAAAGTAAATATAATAGATAATTTAATAAAGAAAATAAAATTACCTAAATAGAATTTAAAAAAGATAGAAAATTAAAAAAGAAAAATAAGCTATATACCCTAAAGGAACTTAAATAAAAAAGAATTTAATAAAATAAACTATAAAACCGGAAATACTATAAATATATAAAAAACCTAAAAAAATAAAAATATTTTAATAAAAAGTAAAAAAAATATAAAGAAAAAAAAAAATAAATAGAAGCTTAAAGAACTTAAAAAGTAATTAAATATAAGAACCTTATAAATACTAAAAGTTATTAAGAAAGAAAAAGCTATTATCCTTAAAATAGAAAAATTAAATAAACCCTTTAAAATAATAAATAATATCCCTATTAAAATAATACTTTAAAATAAAAAAGAATACTAAAAGTAAGAGGTTAAAGTAAAAGACTAACTTTAATAAAGAAAATAATAAAGCTTCTGCAGTATAAAATATAGAGGTAAAAATGCCAGAATAACTACTTAATATCTCTATTATTAAAATAAATAGATCTTATAAAAATAGAAATAACCCTATAAGAGAAAGATTAATAAAGATAGCTTAAGAATTTATAATATATAAGAAGATATTTATATATAGAAGGCCAGGAAATATAAAGATATAAAAATAGAAAGTAAAATTTATAATAAGGTATACTATATTAATAATATATTTAACTTACTATATAAAAAACCTATATTTAATATATAAGATAACCTATAAATAATACTAATATACCTAAAATATAATAAAATAGCCTAAATATTATATAAAACTATTAATATAAATAATATAAGCTAAATAAAGTAAATAATAACTGCTTTTTTATTATTATAACTAAAATACCTAATAATAAATCCTATTTAATATATAAAATAAAAGGATACTTAATATACCTTTAATATAACTACCTTAAAGTAATAGAACTATAATTTAATATAATATTCTATAGAAAGATATATAAGGTTAATAAATTAATATAAAAAATTAAGGAAAATATAAAAATTATTAAAGATATAAAAAGAGAATTTAATAAAATTACCTAAAAAAGATATAAATATCTTTAAAAGAAACCCTTAATTAATAATACTAGCTTAAAAGATATTAAAGAAATTTAATACTATTAAGAGGCAGATAGCCTATACTTAAAAGATATACCCTTTAAATAAAAATAAATATATTTACTAAAAATTAATATAAAATTAAAAAAATACTTATAAAAATAACTAAATAATAATAAATTTAACTTAAAAGATAATATAAAATGCTATATAAGAACTAAATATAATAATAAAAACTATAAGTTAGTATACCTTAATAGCTTAAAAAAAGTAATATACTTTCTATAAAGATAGAGCTATAGGTAAGTAGAAAGTAAAGATAAGATAGACTTAAATTAATAAATGCTTTAAGACTATATAAAGATTTTATATTATAATACTTAATACTAAAAGTTTAAATTAAGGGAAAATAGCTAAACGCTTAAATTAACTATAAAGCTAAATAAAATTTTATTAATTTAAAAATAGTTATATAGTTAAAACTACTATAAAGAAAGAAATAGAAACCTTACCTATTAATTAATATAAAAAGATAACTATTTAATTATAATAATAGAATTATTAATTAAGAGATTAATTACCTTAAGGTCTTTATTTAAAAAAAAAATTAGGAAATAGATTTTAATATCCTTCTTTTAGATTAAGAAGTTAATATCCTTTTAGATATTAATTAGCTATAAAAGAAAAACCTTTATATTAACTAAAAGACTAGTTAAGTTACCTTTTCTAGTAACGCTAAAAGTAATAATAGAAAGATTATAATAAATAATAAGAGATTTTAAACCCTAATTAATAAGGATAGTATAAATAAATATAAAATAAAGAATTTACTACCTTTAATAGGAGTTAAGTATAAGTATATAAAAGGCAAGAAATAATAAAATTAATAGATCTTAAAGCTCTTTAAAATATAACTATATAGCCTAAATAACTAACTATAGATATAAAAAGAATTTAAGAAATAAAAATAGTAAGACTGACTTAAGAATATACTAAAAGAATATTATATTTATAAGAAACTTTTTAATAAAAAACTTAAGATAAAGGTATTACAGTATAGCCACTAAAACTATAAAATATAACTTAAATTAAAAGACTTATTACTTTAGAAAATCTATAACCTAAATAAAAAGGAACTTAATACCTTAAAAAAATACCTAAAAATAAAATTAATAAAAAGAAATATTAAGATATCTATATTATTAATAGGATTTTTAGTAATATTTATTCTTAAAAAGAATAGAAAACTATAACTTATTATAAATTATAGAAAGTTAAATGCCTTTATTATTAAGAATAAGACCTTATTTCTACTTATTATAAAACTTAAAAACTACCTATAAGAAAAATAGATCTTTATTACTTTTAACCTAAAAGGAGTATATAACCTAATTTATCCCCAGTTTAAACCACTGCTTCTTTATTAATATCACTTTAACTGCAGTTCTTAAATATAAGGTCGATTAGTTATATGCCTGGGTATATACATTTAATTAGTAAAGTCATTATTAACTTTAGGTTAATTTAATTTTTACTAACTAACTTATATAAAAGTCAACCTAATTCCTTTAAACCTTTAAACCCTGCCATTACCCTACATTTATCCTTGACCCTTATATAAGCAGGAAGAAGCTAAGTATATATTTAGCTTTAATAATTACATTCTATAGCCACTCTTTATAGCCAGTTAAGTTTAGGCCTAAAAAGGCAGCTAGAAAGGTAGCCTAATTAGTTATTAAGGTCCTGCCTTACCTTATAGCTTCTTTTAAGTCCTTTAA